GTTCCTTCATGTCTTGGTGAGAAGCTCAGTAAGGCACGGTCGAAAGAGTTCACTCCTTGAGTTTACTCTCCAGAAAGTCTTGAATTTGATTGAAGTTCTCTTCTTGTTGACCCAGTGCTTCAAGTATGATTCCCATAGGTGATTTCTTGAGTCCAGCACTCTCCATCTTATTCTCCAGTTTGTTTTTCATGTTCCGTAGGCGAAGCGATGCATGTACAAAGATCACTGAAATGCAAAATGACAAAGGACTTTAAGCCTCCAGATGCTTCATGTTGCATGCTAAATGACATAATATCTGGATTTAATAAACTGCTGTTTTGCATTTGTTTTCCTGCAAGGCACAACGAGTCTTATTGTTTTCCATCGAATAGGTTTCCATCTTACGGAAAACATTTTTTTCCCTCCATTCATTTTTAGATTTATGATAATGATGATTTTCTTAAGAAACTTACAGATAAGAGGTAGCTTGATTCCAAGCAGGAACACCATAACTCCACCAAAAAGCGACATGAGGAAATAGCTCACGACCATCACCAGAAATACAAACAAAGCAGGGTTCTCGTTCTTGAATGTTTTGATGACCGCCTTGTTCTCCCCTGCCCATACAGAGCCAATGAAGACAGAAGCGACCACTGCTGCACCGGTGAACATGCTCACAGGGTTCAAGAACCTGTGGACAGAGACATTGGCAGTGACAGGATCTTATTGAGGCAAAAATTATAGTGATTATACTACATTTGTGTCCGACCCCCCCCCCAACTTCGATGTCTACTTAGAAATAAGCAGTGTACTCATTAAAGCTGTACTCACTGTGTTTTTGATCACAGCCTTGTATGTTTTATGAGAATACAAGCATATGTCAATGGTGACACCTAACGGTTATAAAATGTAAACACAATAAAATATTGTTGACAAAAAGCAGCCATCTTCCATGTTGGGCTTAAAATATTTAAATAATTAATAACTTGACAGTTTAATAACTTTGACTCTGAAACGTTAAAATAGGCATGCAGTCTATGATTGTGAAATGATTACACGACTAAATACTGCTTCCGTGCCCTTTGCTCATGGACAGTGTCAGTGTCATGTGATTCCACCCTTAAATATTGTTCAGTCTTAGCAACTAGCTATAATATTAGAGCCAAAGCATAATCTCCCAGACATTAGATTGGCCTTCATTTTACAAA